CAACTTTCACAAAAGTCAACAATAGAGAAGTTAATAATCTCTTGCGCAGCACGATGCGCAGTCGTCTACTTAACCTTTGCCGTGTCACTGTAGGAAGATTTTATCAGATTCTATCATAAAAATGGAACAGAAATGAAATTATATTATTTTCTGTATCCCATTATATTTAGTATGATGACAAATATTAAAATTAAATAGGTTGTCGTTTATGTAGCAATTTTTCGCAAAAAACCAATTTTTCAGAAAAAACCAAAATTTTTCAGGTTTTTTTCCAGCAACTTGAAAAAAGCAGTTTTTTTAAAACTATAAAAAAAATTAAAAAACAGCTATCACCTGACTTAAGGCGATGCCGGAAGGTCGAAAAAATTTGCACGAGGTCGATAAAACAGACTCTTCGGTGTCAATGGTATCTCTAAATAAACTTTATACAACATCTTTTGTCTCACTCAAACACGTGCAATGTCCTTATCTAACTTATTGAAGTGCCATCTGTTGCAAAATCCGACACTTACTGCTAGACGCAATTTTTGCTGTCTTTATCTTAGCTAAGCGCGCGAATTACCATAAATTGCAGTTGGAACAATAAATTTTTTTCTACGCTTTCAATCGTAGCTCAAAAAGTCTTGTATTATTTGTTCCTGTAATCCGAAGGGGGCGAGCTACTTATTTTGTACATATGAGCTACAGAACTTTTATACCAATAAAATGTTTATGTCAGGTGATAGGTTATACGATAGCTGTACGACCCAGAAAAGGTAATTTTTTAATTTTTTGTCGTTTTTACTACAAAAGAATAGCTCGCCCCCTTACATTTTATGTCTATTTCAATCCTGTAAAAGCGATTTTAATTCCGTTCAATATTTTCGAAGTTATTGTTCCAACTGCAAATGTCGGTATTCCAGTCATTATCCTAAACCGAATGTTAATACTTGTTATCGCAGTGGTCCATGGTCGGAATGCTGCTAAGTTTGTTTATTTGCATTTATTTAAATTACGAATAATTATATGTTGTGTTATTTACCGCCTGACATTATCGGGCTTTGTACGTAACACGCATAATGTCCGCGGTTAACTCTGCTTATTTTATATCTCGCGACGTTTGTCCCGCGCGAACCTGCTTGCGATCCCTCTTCACTAGCTTCTGAACCGACGAGCTATTTCGCGTATCAATAGCAGGTTTAGGCATCGTTTTAGGCTGCTAAAAATTTAGTTACGTATCCATATGTTACTACTTAAATTTAATATATACACACGTTTCTGCTGTTATAAATATTTATTTTTTTCCGTCCAATAAGATTATAATATGCTATTGTTTAAATATAAATTAAGCATTAATAATATAATAATAAAATAATAAAATAAGTGTTGATACATTCATCGTAATTTCTAATTATATTTCCTTAATGTTATGATTTCAAGAATTTGCCAGCGTTTACAAAACATAGCATCCATCTTTATCCTCCTTTAACACCGACAGATCGCAACAGGAAAAAATAAGACATTGTAGTATTCACAAACTATCAATAAAAAGAAATCAATTAAAATTAGATTAGTATGGAAATGGTATATATTTGTGCAAATTATTAACTTATAATGTGAATGCTTTTTCAAGCTTTGCAAAGAATTAAATTAATTAGAAATCAATTTTATGAGAAAGTACTTTTCTAATCAAAACAAGAAAATTTTTTAATTTTTCATTTCATTAGGATAAAATCTATAATAATCCATTTTTAATCATTTTAATTTTTTTTATTGTGAATTGACATTTTCTGCATTTTTTGAATTTTCTATTTTCTCAGAAATAAAATACGTATGAATGTTTCTTTGAAGCGCGATAAGTGATTCCAGAAGTCATAATTATGAGATTTACTTTCGCTCACATTTATTTGTCTAATTATAACTTGAATACTTACATTAGTGAATATGACTATATCGACCGGAGAAAAAAATGCGTTTACAGTTGTTGGTTTTTGCATCATCATCAGAATAATGTTTGTTCTAACATGATGGCCGAGATCAGAACTAGGCCATTCGCCAAAGTATATTCCTTCACGAAAGTCTTCGCCCTACACACATATACATCCAAAATGATAATAAATTTAATTTATAATAATCGTTTTATCATATCATTATAACTTACCGCATTTGTGAGAACAGTACCATACCATGCGTATGTAAACGTTTGGAGTAGTTTTATTGTAGCATATGTCAGAAATGAGAATGCCTTGACAAGGTTAAAGTCCGAAAACTATTGCAAATATATATTAATTTAAGATTAATATTATATCAACGAATATTTGCATCATTGAACATAATGAGAAAAATTTATGAGCTTAGCGCAGTTTTTGTTTCCATACTTTTAGAAATGGTTCGAAAATTATTAAATAATATTTTACTTTACTTTATCAGGAAGACGATTACCACTCAAGTATATTTTTCATTCGTACATCTATATTTATGAAGAAGGCGGTACAGCAGCTTCTTACAAAACCGAAAATACTTTTGTTTCTAAATTTTTAAAGTAAATTGTTATTGATAAATGTCTGTATTTGGGGAAGAATTTAAATTTTTTTCGATGTAATTACATATTATAATGATACCCGTAATATACATATTTATGTACATGCATAGATATGTATATTAGGGCTCCTGGTAAATATACCGATGAAGGGAGGCTGTTCCAATGATCTTGCCCTTTATATATGTTGTCAAGGTCATGACCCCAAGTGATCTTCAGGTGGTTTTAGCCGTTGCTCGTTATTCGTTAAAAAGTTATTAACAAAAAAAGTAACAAAAAAAATAATACCAATGGGGGGTTGGGGGGGTAAAGCCCCCACCAGTGGGTAGTATAGGCGCAGGCGGGGGGGTGCAGGGGGGAGGGGCGGAGCCCCTCCCCCCGCCTATTACATAGATAATATCTATTGTAAAAACAAAAATACGTGCTTTAATGCTTCTATTTTTTTAGTAAGGCGAAGATTTAATAGATATTCAATTTAATATACATTCTACCTTGCATAGGGGTCTGTCTAATCTTTTCGATATCTATTATTTTTAGTATATTGTAGACTCCCCAGAGAGCACAAAGTCGTCTAAAAAATGACTAAATGGTGACTAAATAGTTATAAAGATATCTTTTAGAAAACGAATATAGTCGACGAAAAGATGACTAAAAGTCGGCAGATGTCGCCCAATTTGTCATCTTTATGGTTTTATCCATATGATAACTTAAAGATGACTTAGGTCGGAAGAGCACACGT